TGGTCAAATTAAAGATAATAATGGTAAATCAAATCAAATAATTATTTTAAAAAAAAGAAAACATAATGTACATATGTAAAGCTGTACCTAATGAGCAGTATATAAAGAAATGGTAAGGCTGTGATGATCAGGAAATATTTCAGTAGTTATGCTGAAAGCCCACACTACCTTCTGATGTTCTCCTGCAGAGAGCAGGTATTAGTCTGGTTTTGTTACAAAATAAATCATTACCTTTTTTTAAAAAAAGATGTTATTTAACTTTATTTATTTATTTTAATTTGACCTGACAGGGACAGAGAGAGAGAGAGAGAGAAAATGAGAAAGCAAGCCGCCAGGTCCAGGTCTCGAACCCTGGTCGGCCATGTGGGAGTCTAGCACCCTTAACCACCACGCCACTTGCCGGCCCCAATAAATCATTACCTTTATTCATAAGGTTTGAGAGACTTCAAAGGAAAAGAATATAGTTGATTAGGGTTCATCAAAGAGGTCTCTATAATTTGGAACTAATGATGCATAGCTTATTTCTTAGAATTGTATGAGATAAGATCATATATTTGAAATTTCCTTGAAACTATACAAATAAATCATTATTGTTTTTAATTAGGGAAGCCTTTCTAGAATAGGTTGATTGAGCTAGATTTGGAAAGATATGAAAGTAAAGATATAAATTACTAATGTCCAGAGGTAAAAAAGAATGACCCCAGGCTGAGGACATTTCTAGGTGCCTTATGCCCGCTCAGAGGCCCACCTCACAGAGCTGCTAGAGGAGGTGTGTGACCGGATGAAGGAGTACGGGGAGCAGATTGATCCTTCCACACACCGCAAGAACTATGTACGTGTCGTGAGCCGGAATGGAGACTCCAATGAATTGGACCTACAGGGCATCCGAATTGATTCAGATATCAGTGGCACCCTCAAGTTTGCGGTGAGCTGTGGGAATGGGTAGCCGGTTCTTGGAAACTAAGAGAGTTGTTGGAGGGCCCCAATAGGAAGTGGAGTTAGTGTCTTCCAAAGAGAGGAGGCTCTCTGGAAGTGGAGGCAAGAGGCATCTTCTGGCTGCATGGTCACTTGTTTCTCCCTTTGGTTGGCAGTGTGAGAGCATTGTGGAAGAATACGAGGATGAACTCATTGAATTCTTTTCCCGAGAGGCTGACAATGTTAAAGACAAACTTTGTAGTAAGCGAACAGGTAAGCTGCCCCAATTTTCTCTCTGTTCTCACAGCCCTGTAACATGTAACCCCCACCACCACCCTGGAAATCCTTCCATTTCCCTTGGCTTAGAGATTTGTGTTATTCTTCTCCATTCTCTTTCTGTCATCCTTCAGATTTTGTGGCTCTCTGACCCGAGATATAGAGGAGAGGGCTGCAAAAGTGCTTTTTATAAGCATATTCTCCAAAGAACAGTTGTTGGTAATGTGCTGCCAGACTAGTTTTGGGTATTCTGATATTGGCATATCTCAGTGAAAGTGGTATTTTCCTTCACATTGTTGTGTTATTTGCAGATCTATGTGACCACGCCCTGCACATATCACATGATGAACTATGATCCACTGGAGCAGCCCTGACCAGCTTGATAGATCACCCCCAGGAGGGGAAGATGGTGGCAATGCCTTTTATATTATGTTTTTATTGAAATGAACTGAAAAAAAAAATGAAATCAAAAGTACAAACTGTGTTGTCTTTTTGTGCCTGGGATCATCCCTTGCATTAGACTTGAAGATAGGGATGGCAGACAGGAAAGAAAACCGAGTGGAAGGAAGTTTGGGGATTGGTGTAGCATGAAGGTAGGAGGGCCCTGCGCCTTTAATTCTTTTACTTTCTGAGATTCTGCCCTATTCATGAATTAGAAAAGTATTTATTCAGTGCCCACTCAATACAATGTGTTTATAGTCTAATTATGAGAAAAGAGGATGCTCTGCGAATAAGCAGAACATAAGTAAGTGTATGGGCATTATAGAAATTCCTTGTTTTCGTGTAGATGAAACAAAGTAAAACAGGGCTTGGTCTTGTAGGAAATAATGGACATGCATTATTCTTCCCTCCCTGTCCTTCCAGATGGAGGGACCAGCAAGAGCAGTGACAGAAAGGGGAAAATGGATGTGACCAACTCAGCTGAAAAATAAGGGCTTTATCGGATAGGGACAGATGAGGTAAGGAATATTATTTAATGTAAGGCCTTGTCTGCTAGCCTAAGCTTTTAGATTTGATGCCCATAGCGATAATAAAGCATACCTTTCGCCACTGTAAAGCCAGACTCTTAAGCCTGTTCCAACTTCTGTGTGTAGAGATTCTGTACTAGAACATAGAGATGAAAACCTAAAGGATACCTTCTTTTGGAAACTTCTTAAACACCCTCATCCTGAGATATGGCTGTGTCAGGATTTGGAATGCCTCAAGGAGGGAATGCATCTCAAACAATTTTTAAATTACAGCCTTTTTGGATCTAGAGGGACCTTGGAGGTCATCACAAAAGTCATGACGCCTTTTTACATAGAAAACCAGAAAGATATGTCACGACTTTTTTGTTGTTGTTGTTGTTAGAGATTTTTTGCTATACAGTGTGTGCTGTCACTGGAGAGACAGAGAAAGGCAGAGACAAAGTGAGAAATGAGCCCCCGGGGGGTATGACCACGCTGTAGTCGTTTTTCCTCTGTTCTCCTCTTGGGACCCTGGACACACATGCACACACGCCTGGCATAAGTTTCAGGTTGCTAGGTCCAGGATTCAAACCGTGGTTGATCATGTAGGTGTCTAGCAACATAACCATTACGCCATTTGCTGCTCCCTCTTTTTTTTTTCCTTTCTTTCTTTTTTTTGAGAGAGATTTTTTTTCATGACTTTTCAGATGACCCAATAGTTCACCTCTGCCCCTTTTACAGATAAGGAAACTGAGACCCAGATGAGTCACTGTTCTAGAAATTGTATTATTAAAGGCAAAAGTAGATATTTAAGCTAATTTTCCTAAGTGCTAATCTGATCTAATTCAGCTCTTAAGTCCTTTTTTCTCTTACCTTTACTAAGCCTGACACATAGAATGAATGTATTCAACAAAACTTGTGTACTACAAATCCCTATGAAATCTGACACATTAACTTGGAGCAAGCACTATCAGAAGTATGAGGGACAGGGACCAGCAGGGTGGCGTGGTGGCCAAGGCATTGGACACTCCCACATGGCCAACCACGGTTTGAGTCCTGGGCCTGGTGGCTTGCTTAATCACTTTCCCTCTCCTTCTCTCTCTCTCTTTCTGTGTGTGCGTGTGTCTCTCTCCGGTCAAATTAAAATAAAGAAATGAATAAATTTTTTAAAAAAAGTACAGGGGAGACTACTCATAGGAAACTTGGAACTGTTTTAATTTGCAGAATAAATTATTCACAAACTTTGATAAAGTAAATTAATGCTAATTAGCAACAAATTACTTGTGACACACCTCACTGGTTTGTCAAGGTACAGTAATGAAGAACTCTTCAGGTGGGGGCTAGGGGCCAACAGCTGGTGTAGTGGTTAAGGTACTGAACTCCCACATGGCTGATTGCTGTTTGAGTCCCAGACCCAGATGCTTGAAACACACCAGGCATATGTGTATGTGTGCCCAAAATCCTGAGAGGAGAATGGAGGAGAAGGGATTGCAACATGGCCATCCCCTTGGGGGGTGATTTCTCACTTTCTGTCTGTCTCTCTGGTGAGCGCATGCATCCTATAAGCAAAAAAACTCTCTTAGACAAACAAACAAAAGAACTCTCCAGGTTGAGAGTCTTTGCCCTAATACACAGGGATATACCCTATATAGAAAAGGGTAGAAGTTATCTTTTTAATTTTATTCTCAAAGGTTATATAAACACTTTGCGTATATTTTTTTTCTGCTTTGTAGGTATATAATCCTGGGCAAACTAATTGTTCCGAACCCAGTTCACTCAGCTGTAAAACAGAGGTAGTTAAACCTGCTTTGAGAGTTATGACAAAATTTAAAGTCATTGGGAACCAGCAGTTAGCGTAATGGCTATGTCGCTGAACTCCCATGTAGTTGGCCGCGGTTCGTGTCCCAGACCCGGTAGCTTAAAACTCACGCCGGGCACGTGTGCGTGCGTGCCCAAGATCCTGAGAGGAGAATGGAAGAAAAGGGATTGCGGCATGACCATCCCCCTTGGGGGGTGATTTCTCGCTTTCTGTCTCTATATCTCTCTCTGTCTGTCTGGTAAGCGCACGCGCCCTATAGCAAAAACCTCTACAAAAAATAAATAAATAAATAAAGTCATTAATGCAAAATCTCAGTAACTCTGCAGTCTAATGCCAACCAACACTAGATTCTATTATTACTGGAATGTAGGAGCTATACCAGGCACTGAGGTCCCTTTGTGATCTGAGGAAGTCTTCGAAATGACATTTCATGGACCTGGGGCTTTTCTCATGAACCATGCAGCCTGAGCAGGTGAGCTTACCTTGTACATGGCTGTGTGTGCTGGTGGGGCTCTTGTACATTTGCCCAGGTGTGTGTGATGGGACTCTGTGTCAGGTTTTTACAGTATGGAAGCAGAAAATGGCTGAGAGCATTATTACTCATCAGCAAGGTTTTTTTGTTTGTTTGTTTGTTTGTTTTGTTTTAACATTTAACAGGCATTTTTTTTTTTTT